GGGGGGGGGGGGGACCGTGGACGACGTTCAATGCAATTCACAAACCCACCCTCGCTCTCACATAATATTTCCGTATGTATAATATGTATACATATATATTTCCATTACACAGACGTGTGTACGCACATACGTGTGTGTATATATGTATATACACGATATTTTTCTTTTTTTTCCTTAATTGATTCTCTTTAATCGCTAAAACTTACTGGCTACGCGCTTATTTTCGCTTCTTCGATTTTAATGCGGTTCTTAAGTATTTCTGTCTGCATTGGCTGCTTGCCTGCTATCCGGCGATCGTCGATGATGCATCGCGATGGTTTCGTATAATAAAAAAATGGGGATGGGCGTGGGAGTGTGTTGTTGTGTTTGTATGCTGTGCGGTGTCTGCATGTGCGAACGTGTGTGTGTGTGTGTGTGTGGTATGTGTGTGTGTGTAGGAGGAACGATGAGAACCAACGCAACGCGTGAGCGCTCGATCGCGATCGACACAGTAATCGTATAGTGTGACGATAATAATATCATTATTACATTATATACAGAGTATATCGATTATCTCCGGATTGTCGCGCCGCCGTCCACGCGAAGTGAATCGAGAGGATGGTCAACGTAGTCCCGGTCACCGGAGATTCTCGAAAGGGGGACCGGGTCGCGATCTGTAAGCCGGCGATCTGTAATGCGATCGACGGTACATACCGCTGAGTGGTGTTAAATTGTGTTTATCGAAGAGGATCGTTTCGGCGACGATTAGTCCCATCCTCTCCGGAAATCGGAACACGTTGCACCACCAACTTCAATCATTTAGTCTCGTCTCGCTTATGGAAGACAAGTCTGGAAGTGTCTTTCGCTAATTTTGATAAATCCTTTGAATATATCGTAGATAAGGCAAAAATAAGCCGTTCAGGGATGCAGTTAATTTCTTGAAGCAAATTCTATGTATTTGATCACGAAAGAACATCTTTGAAGTCGTAAGATGTATGAAGAAAATATCCTGCGAAAGATTTCAAGATACTCGATATGCTTTGCAACTATGCATTCAAATTCTTCAATAATTTTGTATTTTCTAATATACTCTCACATCTCATTGTAATTTTTACGAGCACACGGAGAAAAATAATTTGCTGGCCCAGCAAATTTTCTCCTGATCTAGCAAAATTTTTTCGTTATTATATGGACAGCAAAAAGATTTGCTAAGAGTACTAATCACTATTTGTTGGATATAATTTGCTGAATCTACAAATTATTTTGCTATAAAAACCATTATGGATTTATATAAGCAGTTGCAATTTTACTCCGATAGCAAATAAATTTGCTAAGAATATATTATTTTGCATTAATAGCAAATTAACGTAATTCTTAGAACAAATACTCAACAAATTTTTTCTATCCTGGCAACAAAACTACTTCTGCTCTGATAACGAATAATTTGTAAAATTAGTTGAAACTAATTTTACAAATTATTCGTTATATTTTGTCAACTAAATTTTTTTGATGTCACTACGAATATGTCACTATGATAAGTAGCAACGACAATTTTACTAAAAGAGCAAAATTATTTTTCTCTGTATACCAATATCTTGAAGAACAAAAAACGAAAAAAATTTTATGTCTAATGAAATTATTTTCGCGCCCCAACTAGTAGATACAGACGCGCCACGATCAGACAGAACGCGAGTCCGGCGTGGCGCGTCTTACAGCTACTTGGAGCGTTGAGCTTACAACTCGTCTTCCAAAAATGCAATCTGAAAGAATAGTTTTGCAGTACACACAATTGCATTTAGAAAAAAAACATCTAAACAGTTATCCTTAATTCTTGCCTGTATAAAAATATTGAGAATCGTGAAACGATACTTCCAGACTTTGCCTTGTTTCATCTTCAGCGTCGCCCTTCGAACTTAAAGATTCGTTTACGTCGGTGTTCCTAGCAGAACGCCGAGCTGCAATTTCGCGCAATGTTGATACAATATCAGTTAAGAGAGAATTAATCAACGTTATGAGAAAATAAGAGATAAAAACACAGGAGGGAAATTTGCACTTGCGAAAATTTGTACATCGGTAGTCGAGAGATTACGCGTTAGATAGTGTTTTGCAACGCTGTTATGCAATAATAACTGTTCGATAATAATAACTATCTTATAATTAGATTGCCATCTCGAGCGGCAAGTGCAAATTTAATCAATAGGCTTGATTGGTGCAACCGACTGTACTTCCTTTTGTCGCGCGGAAAGTAAATTAAACGACCGAAGAAATGAAGCGCACGACCTGCGTCTGAGACGAGCGAGGTTACACTACTTGCTAACCGAGGAGTCTCGGGAATGAGATTCCCCATCGTCCCGCCGACGACTTTCTCGCGAACGACGCGACGATCATCGGCGACCGATCACTTACTAACGATTTATTCAACTTATCTGTTTCAGAGCCAGCGAATCTGCTCGATGCATCGCCTCCTCGGGATCGTTATGATTGTCGAAATCAAAAGTATCATCAACGAGCCCGATGATATCCTCTATCTCTCTATCCAAAAGGTACGTCATTCTTTCCTTCACACAAACGTCAGAATAAAATATATATTAGCCTCCGAAGAAGGTAACTGCCTTCCTCGCATTACGAACAGGAAGTTCGTATAGCAGAACGAGGATAAAGATATCTAAAATCAGACACTTATGAAGTAAGACCGCGACGCGAATCGACACCGAGCAGATATGAACATTAACATGCACAGTTTAGGATTGCTAACAGTCTAAGAAATATCTAACGAGAGAATAATGATTACATTTCAATTTGCTGGCTTGGTCTGGCTTTTAAGTTCGATAATAATTGTCTCGTCTATATCGCGATTCGAGTCGGAATTTTTTGCGAATTCGCGTCCGTCCTTCCCCAGCAGCGTTAAGCGAACGCTTTCCGCCGTAAAATGTTATTATTCCATCGTTAGATACACATTAGACCCTTTCACCAACCTCAGACAGGATGGAAGGGTCGATGTTTCTATACACCTCAGATCGAAAACTATTCAAAGTCGGTGAGACCTTGCGGAGCGAGGTGCAAGTCCGATCGAGCTTCTCGTTGTTGGCTCTCGACAAATACACACACACACATACATACTTATACACACATACAACACACACACATACAAGTGCGCGTAAGCTCGCACGGGGTGGTTCCCGCCGGAAGACGAAACGAGGAAGAGAGCGGAGGGAGAAAGTGCAGTCTTCGTGAATTTCCGCGTGGGCGGCGGACGCGTGTCTCACGTATCGGCATCGTGATAATCGTAATTATCGGACAATTATCTCTGTGTGTTTCGCCCGGCGGTTGTAGTGGTGGTGGAGGTGGCGGAGGTGGTGGTGGTGGTGGTAGTGGTGGTGATGGTGGCGGCGACGGTGACGTTTACTTGTGGTGCTGGTGATGACGTTGGTGGTGGTGGTGGTGGTGGTGGTGGTGGCGGTGGTGGTAGTGGTGGTGGTGGTGGTGGCTGTTGTTGTTGTGGCGGAACTTAACGATATTTTTACCTCGTTAGCGAGTCAGCCTCGATATTATTCAACTTAAACGTGATTATTAAAGTTAGGTTGTTGAGCACAATTGTTGATTTCTATAAGAGACTTTCGGGAGGCGCTGTGGCTCGAGCTCATGTCCGCGAACTCGCTGGCCGACTTACCCTTGCGCGGCAACGTGGTGGCCTCCCCCAGGGAAGGTAGCTCTCGTGGCTTCCAGATCGGTGAACCTGCGGGGAGGACATATCGCGACGCGTTAAAAACCGATCTCTCACCACTCGTGGTGATTAGAGAAACAAATTGACAG